TTCTAACAATTCAGTGCCTTTCTTTTTTTCTTTTTCTAGGCTTGAGCTTTTTCTTTTTCCTCTCCCTCCTTCCCTCCTTTATTCTCCCTTTTCTTCCTTCCTTCTCCCCTCCCCATTCCCCTCCCCACCCTCCCCTTCCCCCATTCCCTTCTCCTCCCCCCATAAAACACATCTATTGTTCCTAAGAAATAATTTGTGTGCCTAGGATATTACGCTTAGGAGTACTTTAATTTTTTTTTTTTTTTTTTTTTTTTTTTAACCTCCTCCCTGAGTAGTAACGGCCACCTGGTTCAGGAGCCAGCACTATGTAAGCCTTACTCCAGAATATAATTGAGAAAAGGCTGTGAAAAAGGTTCGGCACTGACTAGGAAATGTAAATTATTGTCTTCTCTCTGACTTATGCTGCTTTCTGCTGGGCACTGTCTTTTGAAAGAATTAAAATCTATGCTAAAAAAAAATTCTATGCTAATTTGACCACTTTGACCAAGCAGTATGACTGAAACGATGCCCTCCTTTGAACACTAATTTCTCCTGGTTAAAATCCCATCACCAGCGTAAAAACTGTGGAAAAGGCAAATGTGAACACAGCAGCGTTGTAGACTCTTGCCGTTATGGATTTGCATTTTTAATAGCAAATCTGCCTTCTTATTTTCAGTGTTTTATTTTTTTCAAATAAAATTGATACTCTAGCAGAATATCTGTGTATAATCTAATGGGGTTTTGCGCTATGCATTTTTGTATATTATATATTCACCCATTTATTTTAAAATCAGTAATATGAGCTTGTCTTGATTTTTGTTAGATGCATAGTTTACTTTTAGTATTAAAAAAGGAACTATTTTTCCTTTTTCAACACCTGAGGTAAGAAAAGTCAGTGTTTCCACCCGTTGGCAGTGGTGACTGACAAGGGGCAGGTGCGGAACCAGCCTGAGCAGGGAGTTTTCTTGCGTCTCTCTCACTTTGTTTCCTCTTGATAGTTTCAAAAATAAAAATGAAAAGGTAGGACATTTTTTATTTTAGGTTAACAATCAGTTTGTAGTCAGTCAGACTAATAAAACATCCTGAAAGCAAATGTTCAGATTTTTAGAATGTTAAACAGTTGGCTGTGAAAACCCTTTGTGGCTAAATAGTTGAATAAAGTGTCCGTGAAAAGCTTTTACCCAGATTCTTACCGAGGATTGAACTCAGCGCCTTGCGCTTGCCAGGGAAGCGCTTATTCCACCGAGCCATCTCCCCGGCCACGCAGGGCCCCTTAAGATCAACTTCCTGAAATCCCACTCACGCCTCGCAGGTCTTGTGATCTCCGCGTGGCACAGTCCACTGCGAGTGAGCTTCCAGCCAGGTGTGACCAATGCCTACCGCTGGGTGGTGCTTCCCGTCCCGCGAGGGCGGTCCTCCTTGCTGTTCATCTCCCCTTCCAGGCGCCCAAGCGCGTGTCCGATTCCGTGGATGTTCACAACAGCACCTATAACCCTTCTCATCGTTCTAACGAAGCTTTATAATGTTAAATGGTACAAATTGTTATTTTCTTGCTAGTTTTTACATAGCAAACCAGGTAGCCGTGGCTTTCAGCACGGGAGGCTGGCTCAGTGTTTCCTCCGCTTTTCCCCCTTCTGAGCTCTGGAAAGTATTTCCTCCTCGACAAAGCTGACCTTGGAGGTGACCTTGGCGGTGACTTTCGTTATGCTTACCTAGGATGGACTTGGAGCTGCCGCACGCGTGCACGCATATTGCGGCTTATCGACCCTGAACCCTTTACCCTTGCTGGTAGCCAAAAGGGGAGACCAGAGTCCTAGGAACTTTTAGTGAGAGGAAAACCTGGCAGATTCTGGAGCAGTGCTGTGACTTGGTGTGTGCTCTTCAGCTGTTTCCTACATGCAAGTTTCTAGGGTGTAATGTTTTTCTTGCTCTTAAATGAGGTCAGATGTTGATTTGAGCAACACACACAAGAAGTTCCCTGCGGGAGCGTCTTGAAGCGCACCGTGCTGCCGCTGCTTTCCTAAGGGCTCCATGGGATTGTCACGGAGTCGCTAAGCCACACACACCACACACCCGGGTCCAGGCCTTCTGATGACGCAGCATGCTGTCATCCTGTTTCCCCAAATAAAAAGCTGAACTAAATTTAGAAGAAACATTTTTATGTTTCAAATAATGATGCCAGCTATCCAGGCACAAAGGGCTTGACTGCCGGTGCGCATGCCAGGATTCTGATCCGCCGTCCAATCTGTAATGTTCAAAGTGCTAAAACCTGGCGAGGCCATCTCTTACAGCACCTTACAGTGATCTCATGATTTCATGTTAACTGCTGGATGTCTCACGCCAGGCAGGTGCTTGCGCTGCTCAGCTCTCTCTCCAGCTGGCAGATCTTCATATTCTGAACTGTTCTTAGAAGGTTCCCAAACCTTCTCAATAGAAGCATATTAAAAGCCTTAATAGGACTCTATGGTTAATGACGTATTATAAAATTTTCTTTTTTAAAAAAATCTTTTTTTATGTATTTGGTACAGTGTCTCACTACACAACTTGGACTCACTGGAATTACAAACGTGCATCGCCATACCCGGACTCTGTGGCCTGCTTTTGCTACATGTGGTGCAGGGAACTGGTCCCGGGTCCCTGCGCTTGCCTCATCAGGCGCGTAGTCTGCTGAGCTATCTCGCCAGCCCTAAAAATCTCCTTTTAAAGAACAAAATTAAACCATGTTATGGACCAACTTGTGCTTGAATAAGTGAAATCACACTGCGTAGCTTTCGCCTTATCTGACCACTATTCCTTTTCAGCCCCTAGGAAACCAAGCCCGAAGCGCGCACCCAACAGAAAGGGAGTCAGAGTGGGATTTCGGTCCCAAAGCCTCAACAGAGAGCCACTTTGGAAAGATCCTGATCTCGTGACAAAACGAGTGCTCTCTGCAAGACTGCTGAAGATCAATACCCTGCAGAATGAAGTGTCTGAACTCCAGGTCAAGCTTGCCGACTTGCTGAAAGAAAACAAGGCTTTGAAGCGGGTACAGTACAGACAGGAGAAAGTCCTGAATAGGTTTGGAGATGCAGAGAATGAAATCTCCCAGCTTATAGTTCGTCACAACAATGAGATTACAGCCCTCAAAGAACGCTTAAGAAAATCTCAAGAGAAAGAACGAGCAACTGAGAAAAGGGTGAAAGATACGGAGAGTGAGCTGTTCAGGACCAAATTTTCCTTACAGAAACTGAAGAAGATCTCTGAAGCTAGACACCTACCAGAAAGAGATGACCTGGCAAAGAAACTGGTTTCAGCGGAGTCGAAATTGGATGACACTGAAAGAAAAATCAAGGTAGCATTGTGCTGGCTTCTAATTGTGCTGTCTTGGGTGGTTAGTCATTGAGTCGCTTGTGCTCTTATTCCGCAGTGATTGCCATTTGGTATTTGCTTAGAGATGAAAAATACTGTCAGTAGGCCGGCCAAATAGCTCAGCAGATTAAAGTGCCTGCAAGCACGTGCAGGGGCCAGGGGTTCGATCCCCAGGCCTGCCGGGCCAGCCCCGCCCCCCCAGGGCACACTGTGATGGCAGTTGAGACTGGATGTGGTGATGCGCCTGTAATCCCAGCTCTTGGGAGGCTATAAACTGGTGGATCACTACAAGTCTGATCCAGTAGTAAGACCCTGAACACCCTGTAGACCCTTCCCTAAAATACAAAAAGAAAAATACTGTTGGTGTTACCTTTCTGAATTAAAAATTAGCAAAGATTTAAGATTGTTAATTTAAGAGCAAGATGCTAAAGATCATATAAATGAGCCATATGTTGATAAATGAATGCTTAATTCTGTAGATCTTAGTTATTTGGGGGAAATATTCTGTTTGGTTATTTGATTCTCTAAAATTGAAAATGAGGGCTGGTGATATAGCTCAGTGGGCTAAGCGCTTGCTTAGGCAAGTGCAGGGGCCAGGGTTCGATCCCTGCATCACATGCCGCGCCGGCCCCGCCCCCATGCACGCTGAGCTGGCGATGGAGTCCGGGCATGGTGGCACATGCCTGTAATCTCAGCACTAGGGAGGCAGAAAACAGGAGGATCACTACGAGTCCGATCTGCATAGCGAGACCCTGCACAAAAAAAAAATGGGTACAGGGAGATAGCTCAGAATGGTCCTGAGTTCATTCCCTCATACCACAAAATAAATAAATAAAATAAAATAAAATTGAAAGTGATACAGTAGGTGCCACAGCACATAAAACTGCCCCTTTGGGGCCATTGGATGGGACCTCCCTTGTAGGTAAGCCCCTGTCCTGCACCTGTACACATGGCAGGCTGGCTGGAATACATAGCACATCACTGGTGGAAGGGTGTGGCCTTACGTTCCAAAGGAAAAACTGATGGAAAGTGAAGGGAGAATATCGAATAACCAGTCCAAGAATACAGTAGCACCTTTAGAAATATTGATTTCAAGGGCTGGTGCGCTGGCTCAGCAGACTAAGTGCCTGCTTTGACAAGCACAGGGACCATCCCATCCTGCATGCTGCGCCAGCCCTGCCCCCAGGGTGCTCTGAGCCAGAGAGTCCGGGCGTGGTGGCGCGCACCTGTAATCCCAGCGCTGGGAGGCTGAAAACAGGAGGATCACTGGGAGTCCGATCTGTGTAGTGATCTGTGTAGTGACTTTGTACCAAATGCATAAAATGAATATATAATATATTATATATATATTATATATATATATTTAAATATTTCTGTGGAGAGCAGAAGAGTCCTATGTCATGACTTTTACACAGGCAGAATATATTAGACACCACTTGCCGTCTTACTGACAAAACCCTGACAGTCAGGTTCTGTTGCTTACAAATGACAGGTAGTTTGTAAAGTTCGCAAAGATTGGGGAAATGTACAGAAATGGTGTGCACTGTGAGAGCTCTCTGAACACAAGAAGTTCAAAACAATAAATAAATTGGACTTACACACTGTATTAGCTCGGTGTTTGTAACCCAAACAGGTTGTGCTGCTTAGTCCATATGTTATGCCGCATCCTGGGTACCAGTGCATGCTGAGGTGGTTGCTTAGTAAGTGTAGTGAGGTACGTCCAAGGCCAGCAAAGGTACCTGCTTTATTCTCCGGAGCTTGCAACCTTATCTTGTGTTCATTTCGTAGACGACAATGCTATTGCATAGTTCTTCCAGCAGTCACCAGGGTAAAAAACAAAACTTTTTTATCAGGGCCACTTACTCCTGAAATGAGAAGGAATGGCCACTAGAAGCAGTGTCACCATGAACAACAAATAACTGACATTTTAATTTTTTTTACAGGGCAATATAAATTGTACCATCTAGTAGATTTTAAAATTAGGAATGAAGAGTCCTGAATACTAATCAATACATATGGTGAGTCACTGTGGGGCAACGTGAAGCTACACCTACGGTGATAGCTTAGCTCACACGCTTAATTCTTTCTGTAATTCTGGTCACAAACCCAATTGGCTAACTGGGGCAAATTCAGTGGTTCGGCTGAGTGTGAACCTTATGGGGGAATTTGGTTGGGTTCTCTTTCAATTTGGTTTGCAGCCAGAATCATAAAAAGACTGAAATTCAGGAGCTGAGGTGCCACTGTACAGAGAGAACACGAAGCCACAGGGCATTCACACCTGTCCACCAAGGCGCCATCCACAGAGGCACTGTCCACAGAGGCACCGCCCACCAAGGCCCCACCCACCAAGGCCCTCAGAACAGGGCCATAATTCGTGGCATAGCTAACACCGGCATACAGGTCACCCCATGGGACAGTCAAGCACCCAAGTACCACAGAGGAGTCAGACTGCCCGGGGCTTGTTATAAACAGTTATAAAGGAGTTGTTGGGGAGAGGAGAAACGAAGAAGAGAACAAATTAGGGGTCAGCCTGTGGACTCGGGGCAGATGAATACACATTGTATGGCTGCTCACCTGGGGCCTAAAAGTCTGCCAGGTGTGGTGATGAGTGTTTGAACGCGCCATGCAGTGACTGGCATTTTATTTTTCATACTAGATTTTTAAGTCTTTTGTTGTTGTTTTTATCTTTTGAGTTTATTGTAGATCAACCCACAGTTGTAAGGAAATGATATAAAAGATCCCATATATCTTTTACTTAATTTCTCCCAGTGGTAACAAGTTGTGTAATTATAATAAAATATTATAATCAAGAAACTGATTTTGATACATTGCTATAATTCATCCTACTTATGCAGATTTTGTCAGGTTTCTGTGTTCACGTATGTAGTGTTGTAGGCAAGGTTTTCTCCTGTTCTTTTTGAGAGAAGGTCTCATGCTGTGTAGCCCAGGCTGGCTTCAGATGTGTGGTCCTTCCACGCTAGCCTCCCCCGAGTGCTAGGCTTGCAGGTTGGCACCAGCCAGTTCTGTGCAGCTGGACCACGTGTGTGAGTCATGTGACCATGGCCACATTCAAGATACCAGAGACTGTGATCCCAAGAGGGCTTCCTGTTGGCTTTCTATGGCTGCAGCTGCCAACTCCCCTTTAACTCGTGGCATCCACTCATGTGTTCATTGTCTCTAGTTCTGTCATTTTGACAATGTTATATAAATGCAATAGTACACTGTGTACTTCCCATGTCCACACACTTCACTGTGACATTCAGCCAAGTTGTCCCATGTGGCAGCAGTCAGCAGTCTTTGTCCACTACATAGCCACAAGCAAAACAAAACCAAAAAGCCGAAATAAAAAAATGACATATCGACATTTTGGCTGCTCTAGGACTTCTGTCTTTCCATATAAATTTTAGAATCTTTTCTAAACTTTCAAATACCATACCTTTTTGTAATTTGGATAGGGACTGTATTAATTGTAGATTAATTTATGGAGAACTGACATCTTTTATTATGTTTAATCTTCCAATTCCTGGTATGTCTTTTTGATTTTTAAATGCTCTCAGTTCTGAGCCACATTACCCTTAAAGTTTTACTTTCAATTCTTAAAGCTTCTGTTGTAAAATTATGTTTTGCAAAGGATTGTGAATATTTTATGTATACAAAGAAATGACTTGCTTTTTAGAACTTTACTCAAAGAGTATTGGATTTATAAACTCTGTACCTAAAGTTTGATAGATCCAAACTGCATTCTTTCTTCTGTAATTGAAATTATATTGGAGGGACTGGGGAGACAGCTTAGTAGAGTAAGCACTTGCCTGGCAAGCGCAGGGTCCTGAGTTCAATCCCCAGTACCGCCCCCCCCCAAAGAGAGACATTTTATTGGAATCAATATTTACTATGCAATTCTTTTATTTCTTTTACTGTACAGCTATTAAGACACTTGAGTAGGGAATCTCATTTCCGCTGCTGCTTGCTACCCTTAAGGACAGCCGTGGGTTGGGTACAGCCCAAAGGAGGATAGTCGTCTCTGCTCTTAAGCCTTCATGCTTTTGAAGCTTTGGCTTTTAGCAAGCCACATTAGGCACAATTTTGTCTATCATCATCTCAATAATCAGTTCAGACCTGGAAATAATTACTATTGATGTTCTTATTTTGCTATGGAATTTAGCGCTTTCTGTGCCTCATTCGGTATTTTAAATGCATCTAACTAGGCTCCGTAGTCTGTGTATATCACTAATTGGTTAAGGGAGAAAGTTAAGGGCTCCATTGTGGTATTCAGTTTTGCAAATTAACTAAAACCAAAGAGAATCTGGGATAGATCTTGAAACTGCTGTCACTTCCCAGGGGTGCGCACCGTCTTGTGCTTGTCTCGAAGAATGACTGTCGAGGCTGAGAAGCTCTGGGGCAATAGCTGGCTGCTATTCAAACTAACCGGAGTAGGCAGTGGAGGCCCCTGCCCTCCTCCTTGTGCTGCTCCCGGATGGCGAAGCTGGGCAGCGCCAGGGGGAGGCAGTGGCGGCCGTGGCGACGATGGCGGCTTCACCGCCTGGGCTTAGCGGGCTACCGATCCTGGCCCTTGTAGCTACGGGCTGGGCCTCAGCCCAGGCAGAGGGTACAGCCTTTCCGGATGAAAGCCCGAGGCTGCTGAGTCCCCGGAGCAGAACTCGCCTGCACGCCACCTCGCAGACCCCGAGCATCCCTAGCCGCAGCCTCTCTCACCGGCGCACACCCCCCCCCTTCCACCCCTCGATGGGCGCATGGCTTGCGCCAGCGTGCGCAGGGGTTTCTGTGCCGCTGTGGGCGCCCCGAATGTGACGGCAAGTTGACCTCGCAGCATGCGGAGGAACGAGAATGGCAGCGCCACTCCTGAGCCAAGGACTGGAATAGAAGTTGCTGGAAATTAGCATTTCTGTACCCAGTCATGGATGCTTCCCAAGAGTTTAAGAAATTTTCAGAGAAGGCTGCCTGCATAGTAATTGCAGCTACCCT